CTCACCTGGTTCGCTTCGAATTGGTAACGGTCTGAGAAGACCAAGTGGATTCTCATGTGAGGGTTTGTTTCTCTGACACACAAGACAAGTACGAACATAAGTTAGTACATCCTCTTTCAATCCCTTCCATTCAAAGCATTCTCTAACTTCAGCGTAGGTTTTCTTGAAACCAAAATGACCTTCGGCGTCGTGACATTCCCCAATAAGCAGACTTTTGATTTCTTTTTGGTAAGGAATACACAATCGTTGTTCAGTTTGGTCTAACAAGAAAAGCAAGCCATCAGTTATCTTATAGTTGGGAAGTAGACTCGGGTCTTTCGCAAGGACATCCATGATAGGTTTCCATATCGGGTCATTAACATAGCCTTGACGAATTCTATCTTTCAGATCATTCCCAACGTCAACGTAAGAGACAATGGCACCAAAGAAATCACATCTTCTAGACAATGCATCTGTAACCACGTTAGACTTACCTTTGATAGTGTTCAACTCAAAATCAAAAGTATCAATGAATGCAGACCATCGTACTAGAGAGCCTAGGCTGTGTCTTTATCCACTTCAGGGTAGAGTGGTCTGAATACACAGTGAAGTGTCTCCCTAATAGATAGTGTTTCCACGTGTCTAAGGCACAAACTAACGCATACAATTCCCTTTCATAGGTAGAATTAGCAACCTTTTCAGATGGCAATCGTGCAGACATAAACTCAATCGGTCTGTAACCATTGTCGTCGTTCTATTGAAGAACTGCGTCAATCCCATACTGACTTGCATCAGTTGTGACAATAAAGGGGAGAGATGGATCAACAATTTTCAGAACAGGGTAGTGAGTCAGAGCGTACTTTACCTTTTTGAACGAGGACTCACAATCCTTGTCCCACAACCAGATCGTTCCTTGCTTTAACAATCTTCTCATTGGTGCAGCGATCAATGAGAAGTTTCTGACAAACTTCCTATAGTAGCTTGCCAAGCCAAGAAAAGAACGTAACTCAGTTACAGACTTTGGTTGTGGCCAGTCTCTAATTGCTGATATTTTATTTTCTTCAGGCCTGAGGCCATCTTGGTTCACTATATGTCCTAAGTATAAAACTTCAGACTTAGCGAACTTAGACTTCTTTGGGTTGATTTTGAAGTTGCCTTCTCGCAACTTACTCAAAACCAATCGAAGATGCTTCTCGTGTTCTTCTAGTGTTTTACTATATACGAGAATGTCATCCAGATAGACGATGACGAACTGATCCAACCATTCACGAAATAACTCGTTCATTGACCGTTGAAATGTAGCAGGAGCATTAGTCAATCCGAAGGGCATTACCATAAACTCGTAATGGCCATACCTAGTCCGGAAAGCAGTCTTGTGTTAATCTGCGGGCTCCACCTCGATCTGATGATACCCAGACTTCATATCAATTTTACTGAAATACTTGCATCCCTGTAGTTGATCAACTAAATCGTCGATGCGAGGGAGTGGTTCGGCATTCTTGACAGTGACGGCATTCAACCCTCGGTAGTCAATACATAGACGTAATTCACCTTCCTTTTTGGACACAAACAAGACAGGTGTTCCAAAAGGAGATGAACTAGGGCGAATCCATCCCTTGTCAGTAAGGTCCTGCAGTTGTTTCTTTAACTCCTCAAGTTCCCTTGAAGACATTCGATAGATAGGGCCCTTAGGAATTTTACCACCAGGAATAATCTCTATAGTGTGCTTTATGGTACGTTCAGTAATTCCGGTGGGTTCTTTCTGCAGATCCTTATATTCAGAGAGAAGACTTTCAATCGTCGGAGGACAGGAAGAAGAAGACTCACCGACTTTCTTTACCAGCACCATCATAACTTCCTGTTCCAACTTTTTCTTAGAAACCATTGAACGAAAAGCTGGATAACTCATACAGCAAAAGGATAGATTTGAGTCAGAGCCACAATTATGATATAATTTAATTGGTTTCATTTCTGATTGTGCATCTTTGAGTTGYACAATCTTGTTTTTGAAATCAATTTCCGGGTTGGCTTCTTCGTGCCAGTCCATACCCAGAATGATATCAAAAGGTAAATTTTTTTCTATGAGGAAGGATAATTCATGCACAATCTTCTTTCCTTCCCTCGTTCGAAACTAACACTCAATACGATCAACACACTGAGAGACAGTGATCGTACTCTTGTCTGCTAACATAGACGTTATAGGTCGAGACAAGTCTTTTACCTTCATGCCGAGATGCAACTTACGGATTGCTTTCTCGGAGATGTAGGACCTCGTTGATCCTGGGTCCAACATCGCACCAACTCGCGTTCGTGCGATCTCAACATCTGCAAACAACAACTCGCCCTTAGTCTTCGCTTTTCGAGCCCATGAGCCACGTAATGCTAGCAATTCGTTACCTGGCTCATCAAGGGACTCATCCAGAGAGACAAAACACAAGACAATGTCAGGGCGATCTGGATGATGGGCTAAGGAAGAATCATGCTCTGCCATTTGAGAAGAAGGGTAGGAAGGGGTCGTAGGCGCCTTACCTGTCTTTTCGTTCTTACCCTTAATCTCAGTAGGAGCAGATGCTACTCCTACTGGTTGTTCGCTTTTGGGTTCCGGATCATAGGCCAGTAGGCGATCACATG